CACGTCACGTCCTTCTCGTCCATCCCTTTTTCCATAGCTATTAGGACCTCGGCTACCTTTGCGTTCAGCGGGGTATAGTCATGGAATCTTTTTCCTCCGGAGATGGGTCGATCCTTCCACCTATCTTCTCGCCCTCGGTCCTGTCTAGTTCGCCCCTCCCTCCTGGGCGAGGCTTTCCCTTTGGGTGAGACCACTCTCTCCTTCCTCGACTCCCCTCGACCTAACTCCTCCAGCTTAGCAAATTCCGCCTCAGTCTCCTCGAGATTGATATATTTTCTACACCTCCTCAATACCTCATCATACGTGTGGGCAGGGGTCTTAGCCAAAGAAGTTCTACATGGCCCCGCCCGCAAACTCCTTATCAGTCCTCCCGCCTTAACCTCGTCGACCGCCGACGGAATCTCCAAACAAGCTTGATTATATCGAGCAACATACTTACGCAATGATTCTTTCTCGCCCTGCCTCATCGCCATCAATGTCAAATACGTCTTCTCCTGAGCCACCGCGCTCGAATATTGATTTGTCAATTTTTCTGCAAAATCTCCGAAGTCCACTATCGAGCCTGTGGGGAGCTGTTGGAACCAGTCGAGCGCCCCTCCCCTAAGGGTCGATAAAAAGGCCCTGCAACTAACCGGGTCGGTATATCCATGCAGCACAGCCATATTTTCAAACGTTCTCACGTGTCTCGACGGATCAGAGGTCCCATCAAACACCAAGTTGGTATCCTTATAATTGTTTGGCAAAGGCGCTGCCAGTATGTCCGCCGAGAAGGGATGTCCTCGAGCGCGCCTCTCTGCTCGACCGTCCACCTTAGCCTGCAATTGGCGCAACTGCTCCGCCATCCTCTCCATCTCCCGGTCATGCGTAGGCCCGCCTCCGCCATAGCTGGATTCTTCCTCCTCCGGATTTTGTCGCGACTCCGCAACAGTGTTCGGCGTATCCGTGGCCCGAGAAAGACTGTTTGTGACCTGTTGAACCGCCTGGGCAGCTGCCTCCGCCACCATTTGTTGCATCTCCTGCCTGGTCATCACCACCGGTTGGTCGGGGACCTGAACCGCCGCTCGCGGCAGCACTCTTCCTTGGACTGCCGCTCCTCCCCGTTGTTCCCCTGTTCCTCCTGGCTGTATCGTTGCCAAATTTTGCGGCGGTGGTGGTGGCATCGCCGCCGCGTCCGCTGCGCGCGCCTCTTGGGCGCGACTAGGGTCGGTATTCCCTCCGGGGATCGCCATTGCCGCTCCCACGCCTTGGAGTACCGGTGCGGGGGTAACCGGCGTCTGCGATGGGCCTGAAAAACCTGGAGGGGGGCCTTGCCCCATCGGCCTAGTCGTCGTCCAAGCATCATCGAACGTTGAC